AGTTCTTTCTGCTCTGTCCTGTGGTGTCACAGCTGTGGAAGTCTTCTAGCTGCTGTCCTTGTCTCTATCCTGTCCTCAAATGCCTCTACCAAATTAATCTTCTTAAAACTCCTTTCTGATTGCAGAGAAAGCAGGCTTGGCTTTCAAAGCCTGCTCTCATGGCCCCACCCTACCTGGCCAGCTTAATTTGCTTCTGCTTCCTGACACACACCCTCTTCTCCAGGCATGTCTGTCTCCTTCTCATCCCGTAGGCACGCCATCCATGTCTTGTTGACTCTGTGCATTTGTTCACCTTACTCGGCAGGCCTGGAATGCGGTCTTGGGTCTGCATCGTAGGGATTCTTGACTTTGTGCAGTGAATGGGCTCCTGGCTTGTCATTTAAAGTGTGTTGCACGGAGCAAATCCCTTTTCCATAATGCTGGTGCTTAGCTGCAGAAGTTTGTCTTGGTTTGTGATTCATCCTGGACTGGCTGTGAGCCCAACCCTTTGCTTTATATTTTTCTGTCTCTTAGTTGCTGCCAATCTATAAGCCAACACTTAAATCCTTCAAGGAAGTCCCATTAATAAAAGAAGCATGTTTAATAGAAAGCAAGGAAGTCACCCCTGAATTTTTTTTAATGTTTGTTGTTAAAAGCTTGGATTATTGCCAACTGGGTTTTCTTACAATAGGTCTGTCCTACTTGTATGCATCAAACAACGTCTTTCCAACTTGGTACTCTAAGGTGGTTTGTCCTAAAGCCATCCTTAAGGTTTTATTGTCAGCAAACCTTCGGAGATATTTTTCTTCTGCCACCTTTGTACAGGCCTGAATATTAATCAGCTTATGAACATCTAGTGTACAAGAGGAGACTCTTCAGGTTCACCTACTAGAGACCTTTGGTTTATTTTATTTGGTCTTGATGAAGATGGCTATGTGAATGGCCATTTTGGAATTGATAATGAGTCCTTGGATCAAAGCCTCTTGGCTGAAAGAGGGAAGGTGAAAAGGGCTGCTGGGAGCCTTTTAGACTGCAGTGAGCACAGGGAAAGAGTCTGGTGGGAGAGGGAGGGCGTCAGAGCTTGGTGTGTGGACACGTCTCAGGACCAGCTAGAAGTACTACCGGCATGTAGACTTCTGGCTTGATTCCCTCGGAGCAGGTTTTAGAATCCCTTGAGGATGGAATTGCAGAAGGGAAAAAGAAAGGGGGAAGGAGTGGTTTACTTTTCACAGTGAGTGGTGGCCTCAAGACAGCCATGTCTTAAGACAAAGCATGAAGTGGGAGGGTGGTGCCTGCAGCAGAAGCAGTGACTACCTGTGACTCTCGAGGACTGGCTCTCAAAGGCTTTCTCCTGGGACTGAGTCGCTGTGATGGAGAGAAGCCCAGGCAATCGTGGAGAAAGACTGGAGTGGTCTTGATGACTGCCTGCATACAATATCACCTACCACACATACCTTCAGATGATTCAGGATCTCAGCCTTCAGGTCAGCTCTGTCCAGATCTTCCTAGCTAAGGCCTCAGTCCTGCAGGGCACTGTTCCCATTAGAAAGTTTACAGCCCTACATTTTATAGCTTCAGTGAAGTTATATGTAGATGTGTGCAAACACTGGTGTACGTGTCTTAGTTTCTTTTCCTGTTGCTGTGATAGGATAGCCTGATGATAGCACCTTAAAGAGAGAGGATTTATTCTGTTTCATAGTTCCATGGTGGGGATGTTAACCTAATGCATATAATCCCTAACAGGCATACCCAGAGGCCTGTCTCCTGGGGGGATCTAGACCCTATCAGGTTGTCAACCTAAGTGCTAGCCATAGTTTGCATAGGTCAAATTTTATAATGACTCTTTTCTACTCCCTTCTTCCCTCCTTCACTTTCTTCCTTGGTTCTCTCTTCTTCTTCTTTATCCATTCATCCCTCCCCTCTCCTTCACGCCCCCTTTCCCTCGTTCTTTCTCCCCTCCTTCCTTCTTTATTTCTCTCTCCCTTTCTCCCTCTTTATTCCTTCATCCCTCTTCCCCCAACCTCCTTTCATCCTCTCCTCCCCTCCCTCCCTCCTTTCCTCCCCCTCCTTCCTTCTTTTCTAAGTCTGGGGAAGATTTGTTTTGCAGCAACGAGAACTGCTCCAGTGTGGACAGAAATGACTTGGGGGTAATGAATGAGTCCTCCAGAGAATGAGAGATTATTCACAACAATATCTGGGTTATCCAGGTACCTCTCCCCCAGTTAGGTTATTTAGATACCTCTCATAGGGTCTATGAATCCAGAAGCTAAATGGGCATAGAAGAAAGTTGGGCAACTTTTGAGTTTCCATGGCTGTAATCTCTCAACCTAACACAGGATGTGGGTTGGGTCTGGTGTCAGGGATTTCCCTCATGATGAAGTTGCGGGACAGAGGAGAGCTGCGTCCCTCCTGCTGTCTCCATCCTGGTGTGTTCCAGCTTGAGGCTGCGGGAACACTGATGACGTGTATCATGTTTGAGCGAGAACCAAAGAGGCTTGTAAGACAACCAGGGGAAAACCTTGTTAAACAGCAGCAGATCTTGGTTGACACTTAGGATTCTCTCCGAAATTTTTGAATATACTTAGATAAACAGCAATGGCCTCACCTCAGTGGTCTATGATGCTGATTTAGCTTCTAATACTTCCTATCCAGGAGGACTGTGGTACCTTTGGCTTGTACTGGTTGCGGGGCTTAGCTGATGCCCATGTATCCTTACTCTTAGCCTCTTCTGTCCCCCCCTTTCCACACACTCATCAGACGGCATAGGTAGGGAGGTGTCATGCCATTAGACACCCCCAGTGCATCAGCAACTCTCTTGTCAGTAGGGAAATGTATTAGTGTTCGGGAGTCCACTCAAGAAACCCAAGAGACTATGTTGCCCACTGGGCTTGCCTAGCCGCCTCACCTGGGGGCCAAAGGCTCCAGGGCAGGCCAGCTTTAATCTCAGCAGCTCTGATACACACTTCATTCTGAGCACATCCCACTCAAGAAACGTTTGCAAAGAAAAAAAACCAATATTTTGATACATCTTCCCAAAGCTCATCCCAAGTACTGTTTTTTCATTTTTGACAAGCTTAATGAACCTATCATTTTGTGTCCTGCTCTTCTTATTACGGTTTCAGATGTACTTTCCCATAGAAACACAATTTTAGACTTGAGTCTAAAACACACACACACACACACACACACACACACACATATATATATATATATTTTTTTTGAGACAGGGTTTCTCTGTGTAACAGCTCTGGCTGTTCTGGAACCCACTTTTGTAGATCAGGCTGGCCTCGAACTCACAGAGATCCATCTGCCTCTGCGTCCAAATTGCTGGGATTAAAGGTGTGCACCACTACTGCCCGGCTTTGATAATAATATCTCATTGCATAATAACATACCATATTTTGTTACGTGCATAGGGCATGCTTTCTTACCTAATTCTTTCTATTTGAAAGGTGGATGTTCTGGCCCCTCTTTTACTGTGGCTTGTCAACAATAATCAAACGATGGCGATTGTCTTGGTCACTCTGATTTCAGCATCCATAGCCCCTCTGTTTCTTGTGGCACATCTCATCATTTTAAGTGGTGTCACACTACCTGAATGCACGCACTGTGCTTTTCTATGTTCTTGGTTTTGGTCACTTAAGATATTTACCAGTGCTCGACACTGTAAACAAGGAGGCCATGGATATCACCGTGCACTCAGACTTTCCCCTAGTTTTGGATTATCACCTTTGAATAGAGTCCCAGGAGTGGAATTACTGGGTTAAAGGGTAGGATTGTGTTTATGGCTTTTGATACTTATTGCCAAATTGCTTTCCCAGAGGACTGCGCTTAGTGGAGCAGGCACACTTTATAGGCCCAGGGGAGTCTCTTCGCTCCTCCAGGATGCTGGGCTCCCCTCTAACCACTAGAGGGTGTGAAAGGATGCTGTTGGAGAGTCGGGCCCCTCTAGGAAAGCCCCAAATTTGCCTTTGGTGGTGCCTGGGAGGGAAAGGACTCTGCCTAGTTGATGGAAGTTTGGGGCTGGGATGGATGAATTCTCTGGGTTTCCACTGAAGGCTGCACAGTGTGTGCTTTGGACTCAGGAGGTGACAGCCGCAGTGCCTGGAGCCTCAGGCCCAGAGTGTGAGGCCTGAGTTGTCAGTCCTGCTCTGTAACCCTGAACCCTGAACCTGGAACCCGGAACCCGGAACCTCAACACAGGCAGACAGAAGCACTCTGAGCTGCAGTCTTGTCACCTCCACAACAGCAGCACCTGGAGAGGGCACAGAACACGGTAGCTGGATGTAGAGAGGACGTGAAGTCTGGGGTCCATATAGGGACTCAGGGCTTCCTGTTCTACGTGGATAGCTTCCTGAAAGGAGGGAAGCTGAGCGTTTAACTGGGAGATACTGAAGACGGAGGGATATGTAGAGACCACGGAGCCCACATTCTTAAGCCCAGAGAGCTTTGATTGCTTTCATTTTATTTATCCAGAAGTTCTGGAGCAGCAAAGGTATACTGAGCTCTGTGCTCAGCCCTGGGGGTAATGAGGTGAAGTGGGAAGCCCCTGTCTCCACGGACCTTATAGCTGTACAGGGAGAAGAACCACCGCGATGCACACTCAACACAGGCTGCACCTCCAACAGTGAGGGACATCGCAGTCCACTGGGGGCAGGGACTTGCCTTAGATGTTTCTAAGAAGCCCTTTTAAAAAATGTGTTCCTTAGAAGCCGGGTCTTGGTGGTACATGCCTTTAGTCCCAGCACGGAGGAGGCAGAAGCAGGAGGACCTCTGTGAGTTTGAAGCCAGCCTGATCTACAGAGTGAGTTCTAGGAATGTCAGGGGTATGCAGAGAGACCCTGTCTCAAAAAACAAAACAAAACGTATCCCTTAGAACACTAGTCCAACTGAACTTTTAATAGATGTTAAATGAAAGATGAGTAGGTAGTTTCATCAGTCAGCTATAGCTGCCTTAATGCTGTATAACAAACCATCCCTACACTCAGTTAATAGTAGTAATATTTATTATTATTTTTAAGGTGATTATGGCTCTGTGTATCAGCTAGGGTGACTTTTATTCTTCTGAGATCAGAAAGCTCTTGAAGGCTTCCTGGAGCTGGAAGGACCAAGAGTGGACAAGCTTAGTTGCATAAGGTATGTCCCTCCACTGGTAAGGCTTTTTTTTTAAAGAAATTTTATCTTATAAAGACATGCCTTAGAAATAAATTCCCATTCATTAGAAACAGTGCTTCAAATTGTGATACTTTAAACTTTTAGAAGATTTATGGAAGAGTATTTCATTTGCATCCATGTCTGCATACCATGTTCATGCATGGCAGAGGCTAAAAGAAGGTACTGGAATTGAGGTACAGATGGTTGTGAGCTGCCACATGGGTGCTGGACATTGAGCCCAGGTCCTCTGGAAAAGCAGCCATCCCTCCAGCTCTTGATCTTTTCATTTTCATTTTACGTTGTATGAATTTGTGTGCAGGTGTATGTGGGTGTGCATTAGTGTGTGTGTGTGTGTGTGTGTGTCTGTCTGTCTGTGTGAGAGACGGGGTGAGGAGAACAAAGAGGAGTTGGAGGGATATAGTCATGGATTGATAAGATCAACAAACATTACATGAAAATGTGAGAGTGTCAAACAATAAAATATTATTGTAGAAAAAAGCTGCATGGCAATAGAAACGCCAAAAAAGTAAATAAAAATCCAAGGGAGACAAAACTAAAGTTACTTGTTGTTATGTGCGTGTGTATACATTTGGGTGTGAGGGTATGTGTTTGCCATGGCTCACATGCGCAGATCAGAGGATAACCTTGGGTGCTAGTCTTTACCTTCCACCTTATTCCAGGCAGGGTCTCTCTTGCTGTTTGTCATTGTCGGCTAACTCCAGGCAGGCTGTCCCAGCACTCTCCAAGGGACTTTCCTGTCTCGGCCCCCATCTTGCCATGAGAATGTAGGATGGCAGGCATATGCCACCGGGCCCAGCTTTTACATGGGTTTTAGGGATTGGAACCCAGGTTGTCATAGCAAATGCCTTTTTCCCACTGGTGCAGTCTGCTAGCTTTCCTCCTTATTTCTTGACTAAACTTAGAACTTAGTGTCTGGGCAATTTTGTCTGGCTAGTGAGCCCCAGGGATCCTCTTGTGTGGCTTCCCAGTGCTAGGATCGCCCCATGTCTGACTTTTTAAATGGATGCTGCTGGGGACTCAAACTGAAGTCTTTATGCTTTCACAGCAAGGACTTACAACTGAGCCATCTCCCCAGCCTAAAATTTTGATCTTTTCTTGGGCTAGCGGTAAGTAGCTTTCATGTGATGTAGGACACTGATTGCTAGACATCACTCCTTGTGATCATTAGGGAAAAAGGTAGATGTTATACTATGTACTGTTGGTGGTGTCTTTTGGGTTTAAATATTCTTAGTGAGTCTATATGTCCAAATAACATATACAACCATGAATTATAATATAGTCTTTGTGTTAGATGGCCTTGCCTAACTATGGGTTAATGTGTATTCTCAGCCTGTTTAAGACTGGTCAGGCAGAGCTGTGATGTTCAGGATCATGTGTATTGGATATATTTCTGTGTATTGAATATATTTATGACAAAATATTTTCAATGTATAGTGGGTTTACAGGGATGGAACCCTCCAAGCTGATGGACACCTTCATTTCAAACTTTATGTGTATGTGTGTGAATGGATTGTGTGTGTGCATGCACATGTGTGTTCAGGTGCACATATATACATGTGCACATGGAGGCCAGAGTGTCTTCTTTTATTTGTCTCCACCTTACCTTTTGAGATGGAATCTCTTACTGACTCTGGAGTTCACTATTGGTTAGCCTGTCTGACTAGCGAGCTCTGAGGCTGTCTGTCTCCGTGCTCCTCCGCCTCCTGAGTGCTGGGTTGCAGATACATAGTGTGACACCAGTCTTGCTTACACAGGCTCCACAGGGGATCTGAACTTAGGTGCTCATGGGTAGGGCCTTTACCAACTGAGCCATCTCACCAACCCCCCTTAAACCTTTTCTTACGTCATCTCTAGTAAGGGCAACCAAATCATATGGCCAACGTCAATGTTTGGAAAGTGGGGAAACGTACTTTGTCTCCAGACAGAAGCTGTGAAATCATGGTGAAGTGCATGGGTACAGGGAGGGACAAAGAACCAGGAGCAGTGAAGCAAAGTCGTCTACCACAGTGGGATTAGTTTAAGTGAATTGGGTGTAGGCACTGGACTTTTCAGGGCCTTTATCCGTAAATCAAAATCAAACCTCTACCATGAAAGAAGGAAGGGTAAGCGGGGAGGGGAGAAAGCAACCCGACCAGGTTTTACATTTAGCACAGTCCTGGAGTGAAAGCCCAGACTCCATGGCTCTCAGCGAGGGCTCTTTGCTTCACTCCACACTGCTCATATGCCTTCGTGGCACTGAACTGCTGATTGCAGGAGAGCCAAGCTCAGGAGGCTGGAGAGTGGGGCTCTCAGGGAGGGCAGGTAGGGGAGACAACTCAGACAGTCAAGGGGCCCTGCCAAGAGGACAATGTTAATGACATGTGTTATGAGGTCAGGATGCTCTATGGGTGACATAGCAAGGCATCTCACCTCACTGAACCTCAGTTTCCTCGTTTGCAGAATAAGGGAGGCAGATACTCCTGTCTCACAGGGTAGTTGAGCTAATATTCACAATGTGTACAGAGCAGGGCCAGGAGTGCAACCAGTTCTTTAGACAGGCTAGCAATCATTAGTATCACTGCTTGTTGGGGAAGTCCTGTTATTTGCCTGTGCATTTGTCAATAAAGTACTGTCTGGCCAATAGAAAACCTAGATAGGAGGGGCTAGGAATCCAGGAGGATTCTGGGTAGGAGAAACACAAGAGAGTCAACATGTAACCGCCATGGGGGTAGGAGCCCAGAACTATTCTCCGGTAAGAGACATACTTAGATTAACAATTATGGGGTAATTACTTAAAGCAGAGCTAGCCAGTAAGAGACAAGCAAGGCCAACAGCTTCATAATTAATACAGCGTCTTGTGTGTTTATTTGGGGACTACAATGCAGCAGAGCCCAGGCGGCTGGCGGGGGATAAACCAAAGCGGCTAGCAAAGAAAAAGCTTCTCTTAACAACTGCTTTTGTAGTTTATGTCTGCTCCATTGTCTCTGGGCTTCTCTACCCTTCCAGTCCCCTTCTCAATACCCCATTTGCCCTACGTTGGTACTTACCAATATTCATTGGAACAATAAGTATCATTGAATAATAAAACAGGGACACTGGAAAAGTTCAACAAGGTCCAGAGGTGGAGTTGCATCTTTCAAGTAGGAGTCTCATCTATACTATATCAGATTTCCTCCTCTGGCTGACCCTCTGTGCTTTCCGGTAGTGGGACGGAAGTGGGTTGAATTGGACTGGGATGCATGATTCATCCAACACTGTGGTTCTTGAACTCTGGCTGGATACTAGAATCCTAGGGGAAAATGCCTGGTTCTATCCAGACCAGTGAAATCAGAATCTTGGGGAGCCTGGGGTATAGCATGACTTACAGACATAACAGAGGCTGCTCATCTCCAACCAGGGTTAACAGCATTGGTGGGGCTGCTGTGGACCATGGAGGCAAATGCAAAGAGATTTGCATCCTTGTCCTGTTGTCCTGTTACTCATTGCCTGTATGAGTCCATCTTTCTGAGTGTCAGGGGTTTTTTTTTCTCCTGTAAAATGGGGTAACCATGAATATCTTGCTGTGATTTTGTAAGAAGCAAATGAAATCCCAAGCAGTGGGTTTCCTGCAGTTGACCAATGGGATGGGCTCCCTAAGCCCTTGTTAACAAAATGAATGGTTGCAATCTGTGTCATGAACCCTGGAGGCCCATGTTGGCATGATTTAATCCCAGACTAAGGTCCTTTGACCTCTTCACTGTTGGAGTTGTAGGCTTCTGCCCTCATTGGTTTGTAGCCACTCTAAGGAGTTGGACCAGGGACTGGGGAGATAGATCAGTTGGTAAAGTGCTTGACATGAAACCACAAAGACCTGAGTTTTTGGATTCCCCAGAACCCCCATAAAAAGCACATGCCTGTAACTCCAGTATTATGGGGACTGATAGAGGAAGCCAGTTATTCCAGATGAGTCAGGTTCAGTGAGAGAACTCCTCTAAAAAAAATAAGAAAGAAATCAGATGGAGAGATATTGAGGAAGATGCTCAGTGTTGACCTGCAGCCTCCACATTCATACACACATGAGAGTATGTGTGCATCTGCATTCTCTTTCTTCCTTTCCACACATCTGTATATGTATGCACACATACATACCCCCACTACACAAACATACACAACAAACAAGCAAAAACCAGAAAAAGAAGGATGAGGAACTTTTGGGTTTCTAAGGCTGTCTACTCATCCCATTCTGGGGCAAAGTGAGGGTTTAAAACCTGGTCCTTCTTCTTGCTAGGAACTGTGTTCAAGGAACAGATCAGCTCAGTTGAAGGGTTGCCTTTCCTACGTCACATACAAGTCTGTGTGAGCAAATGGAATAGGATCCCGAAGTCTTTGCTAACAGAGGAAGTAACTATGACCCATAACCAACATTAGAGGCCTGTGTAGGCAAAATCTAATCCCAGATGAATGCTAAAGATGCTACGAGAAGCCTATTCTGTCCCTGTGCCCAACTTGTCATTCTGGCCATGACCACACTGGCTGAGAGCCCACTGGGAAGAAGTCTTGGATGTATCGAGCAAGACTGAGTAGCAGCTTGGAGTAGAGGCACAAGGCCATGAATAGATGGACTCCTAATGGGTTTCTCCAGTTTGTGAAAAGCCTGGAGTCTGGCTAGGTTCATTCCAAAGACCTGATGCCATTCACATTTTTTTCTGAAAAAATTAATATTAATACCTGATAAAGCAATTGGTTCTTGTACCTTTCCATGGGAAGTCAGAAGGTTAAGAAACCCATGTCAAGATCAGCATGTTTAATCACCGGGATCTTTTCATTGAAAACTGTTTAAACAACAGTGACAACAATGATGATGATGACGGTGACGACGACGACATGTCTCACTTCCTGCAGCATTGCCATCTGTTCAGTCATTGCTTACAATATTCTGTGTGCTTGATTCTTTTGTGGTTTGCTCTGCCTACAGAAACAATAGATCTACTGAAAGTGTCCTG